ATATATATATATATATATATATATATATATATATATATATATATATATTAGCTTAGTCGTGTATATGCATGCATTATATAAGTCATTTCTAAAGTTTTCTCTCTGCTTCCTTCCCCTAAGTTTTTTTTTTTTGATCCAAATGAGTACGTTCCTGTTATTACTGCTTGCACCAAGATTTTACCCCAATCTCGTATGGGGTACAGTATGAAATGCCTTCTTTCAGCCTAAAATGCAATTCACCTATCCCTCTCTTTTCCGTCTCACATCTGTTACTTTGTCATAAAACTCTAACAGACTGGTAAGACATGATTTGTCATTTCTGAACCACTGTCGATTATTGCTTATAAAACCACTTCTGTCCAAGTGTTCTGTCACTTTCCTCCTGATTATCTTCTCTGTTACGTGCATGGTAAGCTTGTCAGTGAAACTGATTTGAAGTTCAACACTTCCTGTCTATCTCTGGCAACTGTTCTGTGCCAGTTGACTTGTTGTAAATCTTAGCTAGTAGGTCAGACAATGACTCTGATCCCTTTCACAGAATCTATGATGATGCTTGGTCAGGTCCCACTGACCTTGATGTATCTAGTTCATCAACAGTTTTTTTTATCTCTTCCCCTGTTGTGTACATGGTGTCCAATACCTGTCGGTGAACCATTTTCCTTAGGAATTCTGATATTGCCCACTTTTCTACTGAAAAACCTCGTCAAATTGTTTGATTAACACTTCGCAGACTTCCTTGCCATTTTTCGTGAATTTTCTTCCTTCTTCAGTAAATTATCTGATTTTTTACTGTCGTCTTTCTTCTGATATAACTGTGAAGCAGTTTTGGTTCAGACTTGGCCTTGGTTGTTATGTCATTCTCAAATTGTCTCTCAGCCTCTCTCCTTACCCTTATATTCATTTCTGGCTAATCTGTTCGCTTCTCTGTTCTCGTCTGCCCTTCGCTTTCTGTAGTGAGCTACATCCCCTCTATTTTTTTTTTTGCCTTTCTAAATCTGTGCTTGAACCAAGGACTTTCTCTGTGTTTGCTGCTTCCACCTCTTCTTTGGGTACGAAGTTCTCTTTGCTTTTCGGCACATTTCAGCCAGGTCCTTCATTATTTCCTCCATTGACTTTCCTTCCAGTTACCTTTCTCACTTCACTTCATTTAGGAAGTCTCTCTGTGGAAAATACTGTATATATTTTCCGGAAATACGGTAATTTATAGGTAAATAGATGCCCTATATTGTATTTTTAAAAAAAGTATGTTATCGAAAAAAAGTAGAGACTCGCCATCTTCGTTTTTGAATTTGTATTAGAAACGTTGGTGAATGGGGAAGAATTTTTCGTGCTCTAGAGGTTAAAATTGTGCTGACACCTCTCAAATAGGAGGCGAAATTGGTGGATGTGCATTCCTGCATAACTTGAGATATCAGACGACTGGACAAGACAGCTCCAGGAACCTCAGATAAGCTCTCTAGATTTGTGTGTAATTCTGGCCAGCATTATTTTCATAGATTTAGTTAGAGTGAGGTTTTCTGAGTATGATACAACTTAATATCCAGTCAAAAAAAAAAAAAAACAACAACGGGCAAATTAAATGTGGAAAATTGCATTTACTTGGATGTATTATTATATACATAACAGTAAATGAACATTGATAATTATTATTTATCAGTTAGACAAGTAGGAATTTGGGACACCTAGGTCGCAAAAAATGTCCCCCTTCGATACCTACCACTGTCATATCCACAAGTTGCTCTGGACCTATTAATTAAATGAAATATACATACACCAGGAATGCTGGTAAATATATAAATTTGTGGACTGTTTATTAAAAATAAATGGTTATATATATACACAATTACATAACAGAAGGAAAATATATAATATCACTCACCAATTTGACAGGAGATTAATGTGTATCATACTCAGAAAACCTCACTCTAACTAAATCTATGAAAATAATGCTGGCCAGAATTACACATAAATCTAGAGAGCTTATCTGAGGTTCCTGGAGCTGTCTTGTCCAGTCGTCTGATATCTCAAGTTATGCAGGAATGCATATCCACCAATTTTGCCTCCTATTTGAGAGGTGTCAGCACAATTTTAACCTCTAGAGCACGAAAAATTCTTCCCCATTCACCAACGTTTCTAATACAAATTCAAAAACCAAGATGGCGAGTCTCTACTTTTTTTTCGATAACATACTTCTTTTAAAAATACAATATAGGGCATCAATTTACCTATAAATTACCGTATCTCCGGAAAATATATACAGTATTTTCCACACTCTCAATAAGGCACGGTGGTGTCTCTACGAGTGGCTTCCTCAGCCTTAATAATTGTCAGTCAATGTCTTACAGTGTACCTACGTATGTACCTTTATCTACATACCGTCTTTATCACAGTATCTCCCCAGCCACTCTGTAACGCATCATGTATGATGAAATATGACTGAAATCCCTCATTTGCATAATTTTTATTTACCCACTCCGTGACAGAGATATCGTCATATCTTCCCTCCTCTTCATTTCTACTGTGTATGGGATATTCTTTCTTGAGAAATGGAACGAAACCTTTGAAGCTGCCGTAGCTGACGACCCTTTAATGAAATAATTGACATAATTGTACCTTACTAAACTCTCCCAGCTCACGTGACTGATTTCAGCACTGCACGAAATCCGCCCTGCATGATGGAATACGATATGGAACCATAGCTAGCTTTTGTTACCACTATATAACTATCACGAAGAACTGAATAGCAGTATTTTGTACTCTGATACACGTTACCAAAATAATGGTGGTAACCATAGGAGCCTCCACAGGTGAGAAATATGAGGGTGAGGAAGAGGTTGGCAGCAGCAGCGAGGGAGTGGAGTGTAGTCGGCCGTATTTCTGCGCAAAATGCTTCCTTGAAGACAATTTAATTTGGGAAAGTGACGGGAGTTCATAAAGGGATTATCCCGGTGAGAGCTGAGCTGAGGACGCAGCGCAAGGTGCAGTAGCGTCCCTGAGGACGCAGCACAAGGTACAGCAGTGTCCCTTTGGACGCAGCGCAAGGTGCAGTAGTGTCCCCGAAGCTAGATGTCTGTAGTAACTAAATATTTGCTAGGGGTCGAGTCTCGGTTCCTGCCCAACCCCCGTCTCCCGTCTTTTGATCGTCACTGACTGGCCTCATTTATTCATAGCCTCTTCAACACTAACATACCTAGTCTTTAAACCGTGTAAGGAGTTTCCTTGTTCATATGCCTATTATAATTACCAGGCTGATGTTAGTCAACTTATAATATGAATTACAGTCCTTGTACTTTGCAGTTTTAATGCATTATATTTTATATATATATATATATATATATATATATATATATATATATATATATATATATATATATATAATATATATATATATATATATATATATATATATATATATTATATATATATATATATATATATATATATATGTAGTATATATATATACATATAGTATATATATATATATATATATATATATATATAATATATATATATATATATATATATATATATATATATATATATATATTAATATATGTCGTGCCGAATATGTAAAACTGGTCAATTAGCAAGAACTCATTTAAATTAAGTCCTTTCTAAAATTTTCTCTTATACGTTTAAAGATTAATTTTTTCCTTAATGTTAATGTAAAAACTTTTAATTTTGCACCAAAAGAGTCTTAGAAAACTTACCTAACCTTATTATAACAGGAAACAATTTATTTTATCCTAACCCAACTAAATATATTTTAGATTTTTTTTACAATAATTTAATACTAAACAAACACAGTGAAATATATTTTTTTCGTTAGGTTCAGAATGATTTTGGCGAAATTATTGCATACACAAATTTTCGTTTGTCCTACATGGCAAGATGAGCGTTGCTATTTAAGCCAAGATCGCAAGTTCTGCCTGTTCGGCACGACATATATATATATATATAAATATATATATATATATATATATATATATATATATATATATATATATATATATATTTATTTATTTATTTATTTAGTAATTTTAGCATACATACAGAGGTACAAAAAATACAGGTAAGAGCAGCATGCCAAAGCCACTTATATGCATAGCATTACGGGCTGGCTTAAAATTAACTTAAGATTAATATATATATATATATATATATATATATTATATATATATATATATATATATATATATATATTATATATATATATATATAATGTGTGTGTGTGTATGTATATAATTACCCTTAGTGGTGGGTGGTGAAAAACTGGCAGGGTAAACGTGAGATACTTTATCAGTAGAGTGCCACCTCTCTCTGCTGCGATGCCACCTCTCCCCGCTGTGGTGCCACCTCTGTTGTAGTGCCACCTCTGTGCTGTGGTGCCACCTGTGCGTGCTGTGGTGGCACCATAGCACACACGGGACGGAAAATAAAAAGTCCGAAGTAATGTTATTTGACAAAATTCTCAGCTTGGTACAATATAACATAGCTGTGTTCATATAGACACAGCATATATATCTTGAGGGGTGTATATGCTGAGGGCATATATGTGCTGAGAGCTTAATCCCTATCTGAGGGATTAAATATTCTTCGCTGATGATGAAGAGGTTACTATGCAGCCGTAATGACCCTCGTGTAGTCGATAGGCTTAAAACCTCATTAACCAACCCTCATTTACTCAATCTGTACATATACATGTTTTTTTTTTTACACTGGTCATTGAAGACACACATGATACTGGCACTCGTATATGTATTACAGTACATAGTGTAGATTTAATCCAGGATGACCCAGTAAAGTCAGTGACTTATTTACACGTTTGACGAAATGACCGTTGTTATCTAAGCTAGGATCACCAACTGTTGCTAGAAGGTACACGTGTGGCGTGGCAGGTGGTAAGTGTTGGTGCAGGTGGTGAGTGTTATGTAAGGTGGTGAAGGCTGTGACAATGATTGTTCTTATCAGATATGACATCAAGGAGAACTCACATGATCAGTAGCAATAGTATATACCACCACCATCACTAGCAGTCTCTCTCACCGCCCCATTATTAGTGGTCTCCATCACCACGACTAGCTGTCTCAACCACCACCCATCACCACCACTTGTATCTTAATCACTAGTCTTCCTCAACTCTTGTCACTTAAAAAGGCTGTCTCGTGTTACAGTATGTCAGGTGAGACTGTTTATATATGATACATTACCAGAGTTTTCAATACATCGAGAATTGTGGAGAATTAGGAGGATGTAGGGTGCTAGACTGAACCAAGAGGGGCCAGGTTGGAACCCCTGACTACACTCTCTGCCACAGCTAGGTGGGATTCTTGTAGGTTTTTATTTTCGTTTCCTCGTGGCACTGAAGAGGCATACTTATGGTAGCTGTGATAAATTTTATCAATTTCCTAATTTCTGATATTAATTTTTTGACGAACCTGTCATTTTTTTTGTGACACACATCAAAACTACTTCACAGTCACACCAGAAGAAAGATGACTGTACAGGGACCAGTAATTCGACCGAAGAAGGGCTTACAAACGATGAGGAAATTTGTGAAGTGTTAAGCAAACAACTTGAAGAGGTCTTTTCGTCGGAAACGAGGGCAATACCAAAAAGCCTAGGGAACAGGGTACACCGTCGAGTACTGGACACCATACACACAACAGGAGAAAAGGTAAAGAAAGCTTAGATGCAGATACATCAAAGGCAATGGGACCTGACGAAGTGCCATCATGCGATTCTGCGCGAGGGTGCAGAAGCATTGTTTTGACTATTAGCTAGGATTAATGCATATGTGACAGTTGCCAGAGTCTGGAAGACAGCAAGGAGACACACACATGTTGAACCACACACCATGCAAGGTAATGGACTAACTTATCAGGGGGAGAGTGGTAAACACTTAAAGAGAAGTGGTTTCGTAAACAATGAGCATGAATGTAGAAATAACAAATCTTGTCTAACAAACTTATTCGAGTTCTGTGACAAAGTAATATATATATTGGGACAGGAGAGAGAGGGATGAGTAGATTGCATTTTCTTTGACTACTAGAAGGCAATTGCTACTGTATTCCCTCTGTATGACCCTTGTGGGTTCAGCGTTTAGTTTTTATTGATTAATACTGTACCCCACAAGACTGGGACAAAGACATGGTGCAGGATTAACAGGTAACATAGTCTGGTGGATCAAGGAGAACCTTAAGGGAAGGAAGTAAACTGATCAGATAAGTGGTTACTTGAGTTCAACCCAAGTAAAGGCAAGGCCATGAAGTTTCAGGAAGGAGAATGAAGACCGGAAGTGGAGTATAGACTAGGAGACTGTGGCAGCAGATTTCACTCAGAGAAGAACCTAGGGGGTGAACATAGTGCCCAGTATAACGCCAGAGGTTCACGTCAGCCGAATAACATCTGCAGCCAGTTCTCGTCTGGCAGATCTAGGAGTGGCCTTCAGGAATTTCAACAGTTATTCCGAGTCCTTTCTATAGTATACATCAGGCCCATCTTGGAGTATGCAGCAACAGTACGGAACCCGCATCGGAAAAAAAACATACTAAGAAACCTTAGAAAATGTTGAAATATGCAACAAGGCTTGTTCCAAAGTTAAAAGGAATGATGTACGAGGTAAGGCTGAATGGGCAGCTGAGGCTCGAAATAGATGACTAATTTATATTCAGTTTCAGGTAACTTTCAGTGCCCAGAACAAATTTCAATATGCATGTGTTTTTTAAGTTTAACACGTGTTTGTTGAAGAATCAGGTACTAGTAGACTTGCGTGAGTGTTGAAAGATAAGATACTTGTGTGTTTAATAAGATACGCGTAGGCTTGTGAGTGTTAAATAAGATATTAATAGGCTTGTGCACGTTGAATAAGATGCTAGTAGGCATGTATTAGACTAAGATAATAGTAGGCTTGCGTGTTAAATAAGATACTAGTAGACTTGTGTGTGCTGAGTAAAATACTAGTAGGCTTTGTGTTTTTTTGAAGAATTAGACACTATAGACGTGTGTATGCCTGTTGAAGGATATAAGAAACTAGTAGGCTTGTGTATCAACATCATTAGCGAACACTATGCTAATGCTCCTACATCCATCTTAGGACAAAAAAAAAAAAATGTCCTCTTCCTGAGAGCGAGTCAGTATTAGTTATAACCTCAGAGACAAATTTCAAGTAATTGATGCTGCTTCTCCCTTCCTTGGCTCAAACCTCATTACCTCCCATTATCCGTTTGTTATATGACCCTTATGAGTTTAGCTTTATGAATATAATAATAGTGATGATGATAAGATAGAGTTGATATGAGTGTCTCGTCAACAGGCTACGGACAACAGCCTCCTGTTCCCTCAGCTCCGCCTGCACCACAGCAGTCGTATCCACCCCAGCAGTATCCACCCCAGCAACCATATCCACAGCCACCATATCAACATCAGCCATATCCACAGCAACCATATCCACCTCAGCCGTATCCCCAACAACCGGTATGCATTAAAACTTCTCCGTTCTTTCTCGTTAATTTTCCAATGAGTTTTGTTCTTAAAAGACCATTAAAGAGTTAATATTATGGAATACCTGGAAATCATGTACATGAATCATGCTGATGACTGGATGTTATGATAAATCATACTGACAGAACTGAGCCTCGTGGGACACTCAACCACGGATTGATTGACAGATTAGATAGCGTAATCATAAAGTTATGTACCCGTCGTGTGGGAGGCAGTCAAAGATTACAGAGGTACATAAGAACATAAGAACGAAGGAACACTGCAGAAGGCCTACTGGCCCATGCGAGGCAGGTCCAAGTCTCCTACCGGCTTAAGCCAATGCACCCAACCTAGTCAGGTCAGGTCACATTGACTTAAGGGAGGAACACGGCAACCGACCTGTTAGCACAAGCTATCAGGTCTAACTCACACCCACCCACATCTACTCATGAAATTTATCCAACCTATTTTTAAAGCTACACAACGTTCTGGCCTCTATAAGGGTACTTGGGTTTGTTCCACTCATCCACAACTCTATTACCAACCAGTACTTTCCTATATCCTTCCTGAATCTGAATTTTTCCAACTTAAAACCATTGCTGCGAGTCCTGTCTAGGCTAGATATTTTCAGCACACTATTTACATCCCCTTTATTTATTCCTGTCTTCCATTTATACACCTCAATCATATCCCCCCTAATTCTAACGTTTTTCTAGAGAGTGCAGTTTCAGGGCCCTTAGTCTATCCTCATGGGGAAGGTTTCTGATACATGAGATCATCTTTGTCATCCTCCTTTTTGTACATTTTCCAGAGAATTTATATCCATTCTGTAATACGGTGACCAAAACTGTGCAGCATAATCTAAATTAGGCCTAACCAAGGATGTATAGAGTTGAAGAACAACCTGAGGACTCCTATTATTTATGCTTCTTGATATGAAGCCAAGGATTCTATTAGCTTTATTGCAAACACTTATGCACTGTTGTTTTTGGTTTCAGATTACTGCTAACCAGAACTCCTAAATCTTTTTCGCAATCCGTAATATTAAGATCTACATTATTTAGTTTATATGTGGCATGGTTATTGTCCTGTCCAACATTTAGAATTTTTGCATTTGTCAAATTTTTAAACTGCATCTGCCACTTCTCCGACCACTGCATCAGTCTATTCAAATCTTCCTGGAGTGCTCGAATGTCCTCGTCAGAATGAATTCGACGGCCTATTTTGGTGTCATCGGCAAACTTGCCGATGTCGCTCTTTATGCCTCATCATGTCGTTTTTTAGATTGTGAACAGCAGGGGGCCCAACACTGACCCCTGTGGAACACCGCTCGTGACGCTTTCCCCACTCTGATTTCTCCCCATTTATGCAAACTCTCTGCTGCCTATTTTTCAAACCCTGCTCTATCCAGGAAAAAATTTCTCCTCCTATTCCATGTGCTTTAATTTTCCTCATAGTCTCTGAGTGGGACCCTGTCAAAAGCCTTACTGAAGTCCATATACACAATATCATATTCATTACCATGATCTACCTCCTCAAATACCTTAGTGAAAAAAGTTAATAAATTCGTAAGGCAGGAACGCCCCTTTGTAAAAACCCTGCTGATATTCGTTGATTAATTTATGCTTTTTAAGATGGCTACGAACTGCCTCGGCAATTATTGATTCCAAAATTTTCCCACTATGGAGGTTAGGCTTATTGGTCTATAGTTCGAAGCTAAGGACCTGTCACCTGTTTTGAAAATAGGTATCACATTTGCCATTTTCCACTTATCTGGCACCATGCCAGTTTGTAGTGATATGTTGAAAAGATTAGCCAAAGGTGTGCTAAGCTCCTCTTTACATTCCTTTAGAACCCTTGCATACAGTTCATCAGGGCCTGGGGATTTGTTAGGTTTTAATTTATCTATTTGCCTAAGGACCATGTCACTTGTGACCCTAATAGTGCACAGTTTATTATTCGATTCTTTTGCAACTTTAACCTCATAATCTCTTTTTGCTTTTCTAATTCCCTTTTTTATTTCTCTCTTTAACTGAATATATCGATTTCTTAATTGCCCCTCTCCTCTTTTGATTTGCCTATATATGCCTCTCTTTTGACCAATCAGATATTTTAATCTATTGTTCATCCATTTAGGATCATTTTTGTTTGATCTGATTTCCCTATTTGGAACATAATTTGACTGAGCAGCTAGAACTATGCCCTGGAAAGCATCATATCGGCAACCATCACCACCTACCTGACCCTTAGTCAGGTCATTCCAGTTCAGCCCACCTAAGTAATTTTTCAGTCCTATGAAATCAGCCAAGCGAAAGTCAGGGACGGAGACTTGATTGTCATTATTAGGGGAATTCCATGATATATTAAAACTGAGTGATTTGTGATCACTCTCCCCAAGCTCATCATTAACCTCAAGATTATTAATTAGTGTTTCCCTACTGGCAAGAACCAAGTCAAGGAGGTTATTTCCCCTAGTTGGCTCTGTCACAAAACTGTTTTAAAAAACAATCCTGGATCGTGTCAAGAAAGTCACCCGACTCTAAATTTCCTGTCAAATTGCTCCAGTCAATCTGTCTATAGTTGAAATCTCCCATTAGCACAACATTTTCGTATGTAGATGCCTTACGAATTTCGTCCCATAGAAGTTTACTGCACTCCCTATCAAGATTTGGGGCCCTGTAAATCACACCCAAAATTAGTTTTTCTCGGCCCTCGAGAAGCTGTAACCAAACAGATTCAGTGGCTGACGCTTCTAATTTAATATCTTGTCTAACACAACAATTTAAGTTGTCTCTGACATACATCGCTACTCCACCACCTTTCCTGTTGACCCTGTCAGTGTGGAATAATTTATAGCCTTGTATGTGACATTCAGAGGGCATCTCTCTATCTTTCAGATTGAGCCAGGTCTCTGTTATAGCAATAATATCTATGTTTCCTGCACTTGCAATTAATCTTAGCTCATCTATCTTATTTCTAACACTCCTGCTATTAGTATAGTAAACCTTAAGGGAGCTAGTCCCTTGCTGCCCTCTGCTGTCCCCCTTTGTTTGCTGACCTGTTTTTTTGTCTTTATTTATAACTTCATGCTGAATGCCTCCAGAGGTTTTGTTTCCTTAGCTCTTAGTGTTTAGGTAAATTAAAATAGTAATGACCTGTTTACAAGACTAATGAAATCAGTTACCAAAGTAATGAATAGAAGCGATGCTAACAGCTCTTTGATGTTGGTAAAAGGCTCCCTACAAGAGAGGTTCCTTGATGCTGTTCAAAGCTCCACACATGAGGTTCCTTGTTGCTGTTAAAAGGCTCCCAGCAAGAGGTTCCTTGATGCTGGTAAAAGGCTGTCTTCAAGGGAAGTTCCTTGATGCTGTTAAAAGGGTCCCCTCAAAGGGAGGTTCCTTGATGCTGTTAAATTTTCCCTTTTAGGAAGGTTCCTTGACTATTAAAGGTCCCCTAAGAGGGTTTCTTTAATTTAGTAAATAGTTCTCCTCAAGGAGGTTTTTTCCTTT